ACACCTTTCTGCATGGAGAAAAAACAATACAAATAGGAAGAACTGGTACACGAGCTCTCTGTTTTGCGGTGAACTGGTACAAGCTTTTTTTCTTTCTTAGAGAACCGGTACAAGCATGCCTTTTCCTCTATTTTGCTACCATTGATCCGCAATGCTTCACATTCATCCTTTGTTCCTTTCCAACACTTTCTTACACATCTAATTAAGTCCAAATCATCCCTCCTTAGATTGAATTACCTACAAATACTCAATTTACACATTAAACACAAATTTAGTCTAAGTGAGGTAATTAATCATCAAGCAAAATCTAAAGTGATCTAGGTTAAGTTATAAATTATGCAAAAATATATGCTCAACAATCACATCTCTGTTAATAATACATTTGAGTGGTTTCTAGTTTGATTCAAAATGTGTACACCTAAGTGCAGACAGTGAAGTTATAGAAATAATTTGGTTAAGTCTGGAGTCGAATCCACAGAGAATTAATGTTAGTGCTTGAAGTTAAGATCAATAGAGACGAAAGTAAATGAAAATCCTGAATTTGAGAGTTGTCATGGTGATGAAATTTTCTAAACAAAATATAAGATTCTTTAAATGGAAATAAAAATCACTCTTTAGTTTGAAGATCCGGACATGTGCAGATGTATTCGGGTGCTATATTTGTGTAATATTGATTACTCAATTAAACCCTACATCAATAACAAGATAATAGGAGGATACATAGTGAATGCGTGAGTTAAGAGTATAGCTTTGAATTCTTTGTAGAAAATCAAAAGAATTACTTATACCGAGAATTAACCTGTCCATAAATAAACAAAAAACTCTACAAAGCATCCAACAATAGTTAAGCTATTCAACCATAAATTAAAGTATAATGTAAGTGAAGATTGAAAGATTGTCATGAAGACCTAGCTTTGTTACTTGTAGGGAATCATTAGAATCACCTATGCCAAGACTTAACTTGCCTACAGGTGATCAAATAATTATACAAAGTACTTTAACTTTGTTAGATACATTCAATAATTCAACATATAAAGGAAAGGATAATACGATACGCATAAATAAAATTGCACAAACATCATTCCTAAACAATACTTTACATGTTCATCCCCTCTTACTAAAGAGAGAATGAGAAACTGCTCACTCTTCATTGCTAGAAGAAATACAAAAAAGTGAATGAATTTCATCCCTCTAAGTAGAGAAGCTTAGAATTTTAAAGGTAGAAATATAAAGGAATTACAAGGCTTCTTTCCAACAAAGAATAAGTGCCTTCGTGGCCACAAGAGAACTAGAAAAGGTGAAACAAGTTCACTCCCCTAGAAGAAGGAGGAAAGCTATATAAAATTAAAGCTAATGAAAGCAATACTAAGAAAGTAGAAGAAAACTAGCTAGTTTGGAGTGGTAATACCTTTTCCAAAAGTTCATCTTTAGCTTCAAGAGGATGGGGTTATTTATAGGCAAAAGGAGCATGAAATCCGGATTGTAGAGTCAAGCGGTGAGTAAAAATTGTCTTGCATGGGACATCCGGACAGTATGGGGGCGTCCGGACGGTGGCTGAAAATGATAGATTCTACAAAACGGCTCTGAAAATTCCCTGTTTGATCCTTGTTTGATTTCTTACAGACGATGGAGTGGCATCCGGATTATGGCTATTTTCTTGAAGGTCTTCAATTTTGAATTCTTTGGTCGTTCCCTCCACATGCTTTTGTCTTCAAACCTTGGGAATTAGACTTTTAACCCCTACAATTCATTTTAATCTCTTAATCTACCCTCTACGATTAAAATCATATAATTTATATCTTATTAAACATGAATTGAAAGTAATTAACTCATTCAATGCATTGAAAAGTGTAACTTTTGAGAGTTAATCAGTTTTGCATCAGCAGACCGCAGTGGATAACCTTTCACCCCATTTGCATAACCTAGAAATATGCATTTTTTTTACCCTCGGCTCAAGTTTACCATCATTCACGTGAGCATAAGTAGGACATACCCAAGACTAATTCTCTGTAGGAGTCTTGCACCTGATAGTTGTCGATGAAGACATATTAACAAGATAGCAAGCTGTATTGGCAACTTCAGCCTATAACTTCTTGGATAAAATAACATTTGATAGCATACATCATACTCTCTCCAAGCAAGTTTTGTAACCCTGTTCTGTTGTGGTGATTTTCTCATTATACGGTGTCTCATGATTCCTACTTTCTTACAAAAATCATTGAAAACACCTTTGCAGAATTCCATTGCACTGTTAGTTCTCAAGTGCTTGATATGCTTACGAGTCTACTCTCGATTATAGCCTCCCATTGTTTGAATTGTACAAAGGCATCATCCTTGTGCTTCAATATGAAAACCCAAATCTTTCGAGGATAATCATTTATAAAGTTCCACATATACCTTCCACCACCAAGAAAGGGAACACTAGAGGGTCCCCAAAGATTAGAGTGGATATAATCCAAAGTATCTTTGTTCCGATGAACAACTGTACTAAACTTCACTTGACACTACTTTTTGAACATGCAATGCTCACAAAAGTCCACTTTTCTTGTGTTTTGGCCACAAATTGAACCTCGTTTGCTTAGCACATGTAGCCCTGTTTCACTTATAAGCCCTAATCACATATGCCATAACTTGGTAGTGTTTGAGCTTGAATCTAAAGATGAAGTTGAGGCAACTGAGCCTGTCACTGTGTTTACCGGTAACAAATACAAGCTATTCTACTTCTGTCCTTTCATCACAACGAGAGACCTTTAGAAATTCTCATGACTCCATCTTCAACTCTATACATATAACCATTGGAGTGAAGTGTAGCCAAGGAAATAAGATTTTTACTAAAATCTGCAATATGCCTGACATCTGTTAGAGTTGTCACAATACCATCAAACATCTTAATTTGTATTCTACCTATTCCAACAACCTTACATGCGACATTATTTTCATGAGGACCTTACCACCATCGATTGATTGATAGGTGGCAAACTAGTTTTGATTAGGACACATATGATAGGAACAAACAGAATCAAGAATCCACTCATCATCTAAGCTATTGGTACTACATGTGAGAACATCAGCACTAGCGAAACCTTTCTTTTCAACACTAACAATGGTTCCAAAATTTGAGTCTTCAATCTTTACTTTGCCTTTACACATCGGGCAGTCTTTTCTAATATGCCATTTCTTGTGACAATGAAAACATTTGATTTTTCTAGATTCACCTTTAGATTTAGAGCGAGCTCTGCTACTTGAGTCCTTCTCCGTTGATCGTCCTCTTGCAATCAAACCTTCACCCGAGCTTCCATCAACTTTAAGGCACCCTTTTATTTAACTCTTTTGAGATCAAGGCTCCCTTATCATCCTCCATGGAAAGAGGCTTTCTGCAATTCATGATGGTATAACTTCTTGTATCTAGAAGGTGAATGATTGTTTCATCAAAAAAAAAAAAACAATTTGTGAGAGACTTTGTCATGTACAAACTCTCCAACTTTAACCATGAACCTATGACCTTAGTTTTTCTTACGACTCCTGCAATACCCCATCGCTAAGGCTCAACGTGATGGCACTATGAGCCTTTGTCAATATGTCTTTCTTTTCATCATTTGACATTGTTGCGGTGAAGACATCTTTGCCCTCTACATCTTTTTTCTCCATAGCCTTCAACAATCCTTGTTGAACCAACAAGACCCATATCTTTAGACTCCACACATTGAAATCATTGCTTCCGTCGAACTTTGCCATCATTGCAAAATCTTAAATCAAAATTCTACCAATGTCAAAATATCAAAGTTGATGAATAGCATTGGCTGAACAGTACCTATAAATAGTGTCGGTGAATAGTATGCGAGCCCACCATCAGGTCTCTAATACCAATTTCTTGTGACAAGTCGACGATCTAAGTATTGAGATAGATAATAAAGTGACAAGAAATAAATAATGTACACACAAACCACACAAAAGATTTACATGGTTGGTAAAAATCATGCCTACGTTCACAAGACGTGATCAAATCTTTATGAGAGAAATTGAGAATACCTCTACAATTAACCACTTAAATTTGTATCCAAAAACTGAAACCCCTTGTGCACTTCTCTCAACTCACTCTCGCACATGACACACCAATATTCATACTATTAAAGTGAGTCAAACCTATATTTCTAATATAACTCAACCGCTAGTGCTACTCTATCAAGCTATAAATTTAATTGCACTTGCATCACATGTGACTGGAATAAAGCTAACTATGTAAGCTAAGTAAAATCTTATCCTATTTTAGAACAGAAGAAACTAACCAAATCTACCTATATATATATATATATATATAAATTAAATTAGGGACAGAAGTCTTTTGAGAAAACTCTGCTTCATATATGCTTTATTACTAGAGTTTTAAAATATTTAATTAGCCCACTCCAATCAAATTATTACATGTGTCATTTGTAACCATTCACCACTTTTTTTAAACTACTTCAAATTTAAATTTTTTATCATCTTTCTAAACTATTTAAAATTCAAATATCATATTAACACATTAATAGATAATTGCCCATTAATATTAGGATTAAGGAGGATTTGGTAGATAATGATGGTAGGAAGTAATAACCAATTCCATGCATCGAAAGAGGTGCCCATTAGTTCCAACTAAAATGAACTTAAAAATGTGGAAGAATCATACTCATCCCAACAAAATTAGAGGACCCTAAAATTCATTTAGAATTAGAGAGGAATCTACATGTCTATCTCATCCTACAAAACACCCCAAAAATTTATAGCACCTCTTTATCAAAAGAAGGGTCATCCCATTGATGTTGGTGGAGGTTTCCACAACTTAGAGCATCCTGTGTTCCTCATTACTGTATGCTAAAATTTATACAAGGAAATGCAGACAAAGGAAAAAAACAGAAGGAATAACATGGTTTAGTCCAGAAACCTACATTCACACACCAAACCCCAATAGATAGGGAGTTTGCAAAATTCTAGGAGCTTGTTTTCCCAGCAGTAGCAGATTAAAAGTAGTCTTCATAGTGCAAACCACCATAGTCAGGAGCAGCATTGCTGACATAAGATCCGCAACAATCCCACATATCAGGCGGATCCCATGCATCAGCGTCATCCCATGAATCATCATCACTAATTTGAGCATCAAATCCATAGTCCTCTGTGGAGTCATTAGGATACCTCACATCTTTAATCTTCTCAAAACAACTTCTAACTGAATTCCCTGCAAGACTGATGCTGAAACACTGCCGCAGATCAAGAGATACAAGGTGAGGACAATCACTAAGAATGGCCTGCAAGCCATCATTTGTCAAATTATTTCCAAAGAGTTGAAGGTGGCGTAATTCATGCATGTTTTCTGCAATAGCTAACACTTCCTCATTGCTGCCTATGTGCGAGCGTTTGGACCCTCATCTGTTTAATTTGAATGACTTCAGCAGAGGGCAGCAACGTCCAACAACTTCAATAGCTTCTTTGGCGATTGGGGTGTAGTATAGATGAAGCTCCTCCAATAACGGCAGTTTTTTAACTGCTTGACTAACACCTTCACTTGATACAGCATCGCAATATACAAGTCGAAGATGCCTGAGCTGACTTGACCTGTGAAGAAGGTACAAAAGAAAGAGACAGGAAACATCAGTATTTGGGTTCATGACGGTATTGAAAGCAACACAAGCAGCGTTGGGAAATATCAGTAGCTGTGTGAAAGTATAAAAATGTGTTTACCTACTGTTGCGGCACCAGGAGTTTTTGCTAGTAGTGTCATTCACAATGAAGACAAAAAACGTACGGGTGGACCCGGGATGTACCGGGTTGAGAGAGAGAGAGAGAGAAATATAAACTAAATAAAAGTTCGAAACCGCAAAAAAAAGAGTGAAACAGATAAAATTTCATAAGCAATGGAAGCAAAGGTAATGACTTACATATAACAACAAACAAAAAACGTATGGGTGGACCTGGGATGTACCGGGTTGAGAGTGAGAGAGAGAGAGAGAGAGAGAGAGAGAAATATAAACTAAATAAAGGTTCAAAACTGTAAAAAAAAGAGTGAAACAGATAAAATTTCGTAAGCAATGGAAGCAAAAGTAATGAATTACATTTAACAACATACTTTATTAGCAATTAGGTTTTTAAGATTTGATATTTGTGCCAAATATGATGGATAAAATAGTCGGTGAAGCTTTTTCTTATGTTGTTTATTATCCCTTATTAGTAAAAAATTTCAAAAAGCTCAATACAATTGAAAGATTATAGCACTCATATTTCATATGTAAAGGAGAGCTCACCACTGCCAATTAAAGTACATTAACTGTACATACCTGTTTGGCAAGATGAAAATTCACACTATAATATCGTAAATTTTAGTAAAATTGAGAGGGTTCAATTAAGAGGGAATGGTAAGAGATACACAATAAAAGTGAGATAATAAGATTATTCAAAGGTCCCCCCGGGGTTTTTGTTTTTTTTTTTGGGGGCAGGGGGAGGAGGGGGGGCACCATAGTGTGCTGCTGCCCCTGTACCTGCGTGTAGAAAGGCCAACATGACAAAATGAAGGCCGTAAAAAAAGTATCATATCTTCTAATGGGGGTTATGGTTGCTATTTAGTATTGATCAAAAAAGTAAGTTGGATCACGACCAAGCTACAGGCATATAGCTAGAAAAATAAAACATAAAAACAAAAGCAACATTAGGCACACAAACAAGCTCAGATCGTAAATGAGGAAAGCTGAAATAGGGCACACCGATCTCAAATAAATACTTAAGTCAAGAAGCAACCAACACCTTTTGTGATAACATTCCAAAACCCAGTTCAAATAGGTCAAGCAGCAAAACACTAAAAACTGCACCCAGCAGCAGGACTATGACTTCTGGATCGGAAATAAAGGTGGATTGCTATGTACAGCTCTTAATAAGTAGCACAGATATCTAATAGTATCCTTCTTTTATAAAGAAAAATTATGGGTGGTTGTATTCACATCCCACAGTTTTTCAAGTTCACCCTATTAATGAGGCAGCAAAACACCTAAAATTCATACACCTATATTCATTAATTTTGTTCACCACTTTAAACCAAAAAAAAAAAAAATTCACCCCATTATTTTTTTTACAAAAAAAAAAAACAAACACCTCAATTCTATCTCCGTACCCCTCATCAAGCCACCACCACAGCTACCAGCCAACCATCACCAACCACTATTTTGATTATATATAAAAAACTTTACATCCCAGATCTAGCCAGATCTGTGCAGTAATAGTTATGGAGAACTGGTTTTACTCAACCAAAAAAAAAAACAAATCCAAAAATATTTTTTGGTGGAGCAACGCTAGATGAACTTAAAATATGTGCTTGATAATCACAACCATTGGTTGCACTGTAGGTCCCAATAAATATTGGGACCCATTACATATTCAATGGTTATGATTATCAAGTACACATTTTAAGTTCAAATAACATTTTTCTTTTTAGTGGCTGTCAACACACCAAAGGAAAAAATAGACATGGTCGAAGACCATACACTAGTCTTCTCCAGCACCTAAGAAGGTGTCAAACGGTCGGAGAGGGAGGGCAGAGAGAGAAGGTTAGAAAGGGTTGGAAGAGTGGAAAAATACTGCAAGGATGGATTGATAAGAAATTAGAATGGTATATATTAGGGCGATTCATAAGGTAGCACTTTTTGCTGGGGTAATTTTAGAATTGGGATGAACTTGAAAAACTTTGGGGCAGAATAGAGCCACCCCAAATTAGTAATGATAATCAGCACAGTTAAGATAGATTATTCATAATCAATCTGCTACACGCCATCTCTATAGATGCAAATATATATCTATATGTAGATTCACGGACCCTTGAAAGAAAACTAAAGAATCTAGGCATGCAGTTAAAATTAGATAAGAAATTTGGTACATCATCAAGCATTGTGCAAACAAAAAGAGTTATAAGGAATATCCCTATTGAAAATGAAATAATCAAACTATTCAACAATAAAGGATTACCAAGCAATTGCAATCCACACCCTTTGTCTGCATTAAAAATTTGTGGAAACCAGCCAAGAATGACTAGTGATTACCGTTCCAGCTGGAAAAACTCAATAAAACTTAGTAGTTGACCGCATAATCTCATTTCAGAAAAACATACATTTGGCATTTCTTCGGCATGCCAACATAATATAGAAGTGTAAATATAAAGAAAATAGAAATTTTGTTTCTATTTCCACCATTGTAGAAGTAACCAAATTCAGAACAAAAAGAATTGAGAGGAATCTAGTAAAACTTATCACCATAATAGTAAGTTTCAAAATCATCAACACAATATTAATTTGACATTGACTATACATATGCACTCAACCATAAGAACATAAAATATAAGATTTTCTTTTATTTTCGTAACAACCCAAATAAGTAAAACTAATATCCATCAGTTACTTGCAACTCTTTGCCTTCAATGAGTAGAAATTTATCGGTTATTCAAGACCAAATAAGCAAATTATTTTCCTTTCTCACTTCCACCACCAACTATAAGATAGCAAGAGATGATAATCCTAGAAAAATTAAGGCACTGCAGTAGACCATCTAACGCCAACCTATTTGCTTTGATAAAAAAAACAAGCTTCTACCAATAAAAGGATATATTTCAAGCGATTAAATTAACAAATCACAATCTCTTTCCTTCCGTTTTTCCTCGACAACCAAATAAGTCTAGAATCTAAAAGACACAGTGACCCATGAGAATAAAAAAAAATGTCTACACACAACAACTCAAATTAATCAACAATATACAAGCATTTACATCAATCAAGTTAAATTGTGCAATTTTTTTCAAGAAGTATAGTTTACATTTCCCTGCTTTACTAGGTAAACAAATCAAAATCTTGTATTGGGTCCGTCGGTGTTGGGTATAAATCATGTATAAACTTGGGTTGGGTCATTTCTTTTACCGACTCAACTCATACAATATTTTTTTTTTTTTTGAACATATACTCAACTCATACATGATGTGTTAATTTATCATATTGTCCACATCGTTCACTGCACGGGTATTAACCCTTAAGCTATGACTCATATTTTACTTTACCCCTCAATTATGTTAATTGTTTCATACATACCGGTGGGCAATGTAGAGAAGCAAATCATCAGTGGCTAAAGAGTGGATGCAGATGTCAACCAAAAGGCCTTGGCTCATATCAACGGCGAGCTTACATCTCTTCACAAGAGCACCGCCGGGAGCAGAAAATAAATCCCTCCAAGTATTGGTGTCGATGACTCGCCACATGGAGGGCTCTTTGCATGTTCTCCGCCAGGTAGTGCAGACTTTCTGTGCACTCATCAGTGTGTCTGCCGCACCAACCTTGTGGAGAATTGCTGTCGTCACGTCCGGCGGGAGTGCTAGCCAGTTTGGGATTCGATCGGCCGGTGGTGGGGTTGTGGTTCGGAGGCCAGACCTAGAGGTGGATGATAGAGCCATGATTTCTAGAGAAACCGAAAGAACACGGCGAGTAGCATTGCATATATCTGTGTGCGCGCGCGAGCGAGCGTCTGATGAAAATTAATTTTTCTTTAATTTAGGAATAATTATACCACATGCTTCAGGTTTGTCACATAGTCTTTGATTCGTTAATCGTAATATATTTAGACCCTCTAAAATTTATAAAATATAATTAATTTCTCAAATTTAAAATATTAGATTTAAATTAAAATATTTCAATTAAAAATAAAATATCAAATATTTTAAATTTTTCAATCAAAATTTATGTTTTATTATATTATTTATTGAAATAAAATCAAAAATAAAAATATATATTTTAAAAAAAATTGATAATTAATATTGTTAATGTCAAAATTTAGATGACTTACACGTAAGGATGACAGTGGACCGAAGCGGGGGCGGGAAGTGTAGTCTCTATCCTCGTATCCGCTTTAAAAAAATATGTTCATCTCTGGTCCATCCTCGTTAACAGGTATAATTTTCATCTCATTCTCCATCCGCGAGTAAATTTGTAATTCCCGCCCCCGGCCTATTCCCACCTTCACCCCTGCTCAAGCCCAGCACAATCCAACATTATAAATAATGTAAAAAATCAAAAAAAGTGGAGGTCACCAACTGAAAATTATAACACAATTCTTCTCATTAATAAGGACTAACATTTGGTATAGTGAGTAGGCAAGAAGTTTATCCAACACTTTTCAAGCAACAAGTCTATCCAACAAGTTTCAAAAAGTAAAAATCATATCTAACACTATAATCAGAATTCAACAAATACTATATTCAAGTAACATAAAATTAAAAAATTCAAAATATTACATATCTAACACAAAAAATCAGATGTAGATTACTCCACTTAAGTTTTCACTTGTTTTGCTTTATTCAAGCTAGTCTCTCAAACTTTGACATATACGAACACGATATGCTCTGGATTACTCTGCATTACAAGCAAAGTCCTTGCCAAGAGCATCAACATCTATGACTAAATGAGCCATGAACATGGCAGATCATTCTTACGTTTCATGGTGGGTCTTACAACTGTGTCTAGGTGGTCAAGTTCAGTACCAATAGTGGTAACAAGGTAATAAATATTTTAGGAGCATTCTTCCTTGTTCTCATGATTTTGCAAGCTTATTGAACAAATATTATCGCGATTTTGGGAAGTATAAGAAAAAGACGCTTATGAGGAACTTTATCGGATTGTGTCTCATATCGCCTTCATCATCTAACTAAGTATGGATATTTGTCTGTCCATGACCCAACAAAGCGTCTTATGTCTTGGGCCTCAAGCCATATGCTGATTCACCACCTTTCTATCCATCTTTACGGGCTAATTCTTCGACGTATGCTTAAAAATGTAAAGGAACTCAAAAGGCTTAAGATATTCATACATAAGATCGAAGTCATCTGGGCCTAGCTGGTGAACACTCACCTATTTTTTTGTTGCCATCTCAAAGTATTTGAATGACATTTGGGTGACACAATGTCCATCTGGATGTGTTTGTCACGTGGCGTATGGGTGGAGAATGCTTCTTGTCACAAAACCTCTGTTCATGAATAGCAACTCATAGTAGTAAATAATTTCTCTTTCTCTGGAATAGTTATTCAGCGAGATTGATGACTATATCAATTGAGTGGTACACTCTGATTCCACAATCTAGTCCTTTTTGACTAAAAATATTTTTTAGTTTCGGGGTCAAATATCAATTAAATAATTGATCTTCTTGGGTCTCTTTCTCAAGTATCACATAATTAACTGTTGTGGGTCTGTTTAGTAAAATGACCTCTGGGGTTGAGTATTTTCTTGATGGAATCAAGATAAGTCTTGCTCGTGTCACATTTCTTACCATCTTTGATCACTTTATCATATCAAATATTGTATCCCTTGGGTGAATTTTTCTAATTGATTAACCTCCTTTGTCATCGATAAGTAGATAGCTTTAATAAATCTGTTATGAGATTCTAACCCAAGATCTGTGTTTGATGTAATGGTCAGCATAGGCTTTGCCTTGAGAAAGCTCAAATAGATAATCAAACCAAATCTTTCTAAGGATTCTTCATAGATCATAATCATGTAGGCTAAGAGAAGACCCTTCAGCTCTTGAAGCCACAAGAGAGTTTATTTGGGAATGTTGAACCATCATAATAAGATATCTCCAAAGGTTTGTACCTTGAGTAATACTCCACTTAGGAATAGCCTTTTTCTTGAAGGTTGATCTTAAGCCAATGTTCATTGGGCATAGTGGCACTCTACACCGATGATGGATTCTACTTATTTCCAATGAGATCATGTGTAGCTAAATTCTTGGGTCTCACCAATACCCATAGAGAGTTAATCTCTACTCATATAGGTCCTTCATATTAGGAATTGAGTGGTACACTCTAATTTGACTCAAATTCATAAAATTTCATTCTTATTAGTTAACACTTCAAGTCAAATATCAAGCAATTGATCCTCTTGAATTTCTTTTCAGTATCAAGTAATTGATCCTCTTGGATCTCAGTCATATCGTTTTTTGTGTCTTTTTGGATCTCTTTCTCATTCGCCAACTCCATGAGTGCTTCTCCCTTTTTTTTTTGAATTGAGATTGGTCACATAATCATCGTAAAAATTGGATCATCTCAAAGACTCCATGTGTCATTATTTATAGCATAAATAATAGAGTTATCTCTGAAACATAATATAACAAAATGGAAAAAATCAAATATGATGACAATCAAATTATCTCCGAAAAGCATTCATATTTTTTCTCTTAGATCTCTTACCCATCATAGCATGTCACATTATAGGTGTCACATATGTACACTCCTCAGATTACGAGCATGTCGATTATGCAAAGCAAAGTCAAAGGATTCTCATACCATGGGGCAGCTGCGTAGTGCTTATATGAAGAGATCCAACTTCCTTTTATCTCCATAGATGTCTACTAAACAATAGATTTTGATCACATCGATCTTTGCGGTATTGATTACTCACTCTATCGAGGAAAGATCCATACTCCACTTATTTCTCATGCGGCCTTTTTGTTTTATAAGACGTCCACTGGAGGAGGCACAATAGATATGATAGTCGAGTTCCACGTCACCGATTATTGGTGGATTAGTTTTGAGTAAGATCAAGTATTTAGAATACATCATAAGACTGTGAAAATTCTTCAAGTAGTGACAGCATGTGGAAGATCCCTTGATCTCTTGATTTTTTGAATCACAAGGACTTCCACCTTTTCTTCTTTTAGATACACATTCACCTGAAATAATCAAAGGCTTGCACCGTTTGCACAAGCCCATGAATAGTTCTATACTCTATGTTATCACTCTTTATTATTACACATAAAGGTCCATCAACAATGTTCGTTACAATGATCCAGAGTAAGATCGCCTGAATATTTACATCTTTGTAATTCATGGAAACTTGATTGTAAGGAAGCTAATTGTAGGGGGGAAAATCCACACTTATTCAAATAAAGAGATTTGTCTAGAGTGAGCACTCGAGATCGTCTTTGACCTGCAAAATGAACAAACTGCCCTAAACCGGTGGGGTATTTGTCGGAGGCACTGAGGGAGTACTCGAGATCGTCTCTGACTTGCAAAACAAACAAACTGCCATGGACCGGTGAGGTACTGGCCGAAGGCACTTCGATGTTTAAGTCAGTAATGACACAAGAGAGTGTATTCAATTCATGTGAGAAAGTGTGCATACCTTAGACTTAAGTTTTACCAGTATTTATGGGGTGCCTGTCCTTGATTATTTAGGACTACCATCCTCATTGGAATATGGTGGCACACCTAAATTTCAATAGGTCCTTCTTTAATTTGTATTTGACCCTTATAGGGTTTCTTTTCTGATTAGTCGATTTAAGTCACATATTAATTATGTGTTCCTATGATTTAGACAATTTCTTCATTGGTCGCCTAGCACAGTCTCTGACTTTTCGAGATAGTATAGTTATCTGCTTGGTCGGATCTTATCCTTTGCTCGTTGGACTAAGTTTACCTCGGTCGGGATAGCCTGACTGTCTACTCGATTGGATTTTTTCCTCTGCGCAGTCGAACCAATTTTAGCTCGACCAGGATAGCCTAGCTATCTGCTCGGTTGGATCTTATCCTCTGCTCAGTCGTATCTCATCCTCTGCTCGGTCGGACTAACTTTAGCTCGGCCCGAATAGCCTAGCTACTTGCACGGTAGTAGTAGAGTTATTCCAAATAACTCTTTTTAGCACGTGCAACCTACCACGTGTCCAAGTCTAATTTTAAGGTGTCCAAGTCTAATTGTTAGATGATGATCAAAATTTATCGACCCTTTTAGGGAGGAGTTTGAAACTCCATTAGGGTCAAAGACTCTTAACTTGTGACCGCTCGGGGATCTTGCGGGCTACAAAACGAGTTTAAAACTCTCAGAATTTTGCTTCGCTTGGAGCTTTAGGAGTTGGAAACTCCCTTGTTGCAAGCTCTAAAAGGAGTTAGAAACTCCAATATTATTTTTTAAAAAGAACTCTAAGAGGATCAACACCTTGCAGCCCCCCTATTTTATATATTTGCTGAGACATTGGAGACCCAACAAGAGTAGGGAAATTGGACATGAGAAAGAGTTTGAAACTCCATTACAATGAAATGCTCTATTTTGGTATACCATCAAAACTTGGCCTTCGGCCAAAGAGGTAGAAATACTACCATGAATTTTGGTTGGTCTCTAGGTTGGTTGCTTTCTTGCAATTCTTTTTCTAGCTTCAAACCATTTGTGCGACAACTTTTCTTTTTACACCGTGGATGCCAATTTGCACAAGAGGGCTTCACTAGGACAAATAAGAAAGCTTTGGAATTTTTCTTAGTCTGAGGGGAGGTCAAGGTTGGTGCTGATTGAAGCTTGTGCCCCGTTTCGAACTATAGGAGTTGAAAACTCCTGTAAACAGAAACTTTGGAGTGATCAAAAATTGCCACAATTGCTTCGGATTTCTATGGTTTCTTTTATAATTGAATTGCTG